CGCTTGCAGGCGCGCGCGGGCCCGCGCGGGCCCGCAAACAGAACGGCGGCAGTAGCGCAAACTCACCGCGAGGCGGGCCGAACGCCGCCCCCGAGCGGAATGGGGGCCGCAGGGATTGGAAGCGGGCTGCGCGGGCCAGTGCAGGGGGACTTCTCTGAGCTCAGCCCCGATGGGTTGAAACGATGACGTCGACAGCAAACCGAGCCTCAGGGCAATCAGGACGCAATGTGTCTTGGCTGTTCTCGGGGCAGGTGGAGGTAAAAGGAAGGCACTCCCACCGATGACTTCAGTGAATGCTGATACCCAAGGGGTCAGCTTCGAATGAACAGCGTACGCTAAGCGTACGATGCCTGGGCGATTGGGGCGCAGTGCTGCTTTGCGCGGATCTTCGTGCCTGGTGCGTCAGTGTCGCAGAGTAAGTTCTGACTGATTGCAGGGCTCGCGCTTATCGCCATGCGAGTATCTGTTTGCATGCAAGACTGCTGTCTCTGGTTCGCTTCGGCGTGCCAAGGCTCGTTGGTTGAGTGCAAACCTGGTTGATCTTGCCTTTAGCCATATGCTTGTCCCAAACATTTAGAAAATTTAGCCATGCATATCTCAGTATAAGCTTCTATACGGCGAAACCGCGAATGGCTCATTTAATGCAGCTACATTGCGAAGGCCTTACGGCCGGCGCCGCCGACCCTGAATGACGACGACGACGACGAGCGCTCTCGGGGGCCTTTTGGGGGTTGTTTGTTGGCCTCTTGGGGACTCTTAGGAGCCGCTTGAGAGCCTCGTGGGGGCCTCTTGGGGCTTCCTGGGGGTCTCTTGAGGGCCTCTTGGGGCCCCTCGGGGGGCTTCTTAGGGGCCTCGGGGGGCTTCCTGAGAGCTGCTCAGGCCGAGGGATCGAAATGTCAGTTCGGGTCCCCCGTCTGGACTCCCTCTTGGAGCCGTCTCGGGGGCCTCCTCGGCTGTCTTGGAGGCCGGGCGGTCTTGGGGCTCTTTTGGGTCGTTGTGGAGCTCTCTTGGAGGCCTCTTGAGCCATCTTGGGGCGGTCTAGGAGGCCTCTTGGCCTGTCTTGGAGCGTCGGGAAGCTGACAAGGCGAGAATGCTGATGAAATGTTTCAATCACCTAAGGGAGATCGATTGTTGTTTGCTCCTTGGGGCCGTCTTGGAAGTCCTCTTGGAGGCCTCTTGGGGCGTGTTTGAAACCTTCTGAGCCGTCTGGAGGTAACTTTGGCGATTTGGACCGATACTTCGGCCATCCGGGGCTCTCTAACAGCGTTTGGGGGACATATTGGAGCACTTTTGCCGCGTCTTGGGGCTTTTCTGGGCCCCCGAACCGCCCGGGGGGGAGTCGCATCTGCCGCAGGACCCCCCCGGGACCCCGCCCCCAGGACCCCCCCCCGGCGGGGAGGGGATCACAGAGAAGGGGCTTCCCTTCGACTCAACTATACCGTTGCTCAACTCAAACGGAACAGCCTCTTCCACACGCCGACAGGGTCGTCGGCGGATTTTTCCTCGTCCTTCTCGCAGTCCTCTTCCTCTTCATCGCTGATGCTCGGGCCTCCGCAGCATCCTCTTCCTCGAGGTTGGGGGGATTCGGCGGTGAGCACGGCGTGGTAATCCTCGAGGTGGGAGGGGGAGGGTGGTGGTGAGGAGGAGGACGCGGAGGAGGACGAGGAGGAGGAGGAGGAGGAGGAGGACGAGGAGGAGGAGGAGGAGGAGGAGGAGGAGGACGAGGAGGAGGAGGAGGAGGAGGAGGAGGAGGAGGGGGGGGAGGAGGAGGAGGAGGAGGAGGAGGACAAGGAGGAGGACAAGGAGGAGGAGCAGGGGCAACAGCAGAAGCAGACGGAGCAGGAGGACGGGGGGGGGGCGAGGAGGGAGCGGGGGGGGAGGCAGGAGGAGAAGCAGGCACATGCCAGGGCGCCCCACCGATGCTGCAGCGCCCGCCCGCCCCCGCGCCCCGCCCCCCCCCCCCCCGCGGAGGCGTCGGCGCAGGCCTTCCTCTGCGCCAAGGGCGGCGCCCCTTCTCGAGGGACGGGCGCCCAGTGGGCCTGCTCGTTCGGGCGAGAGGAGCGCCTCGTCGAAGGAGGACAGGCCCCGCGGCCGTCTGGCTCGACTGAATACAGTCGGGGCCCCGAAGAAGGAACCCTTTTCGTTGGGGAGGGGCTCCGCGTTCCTTCAGTGTTTCACAGCTTGCCACAGGTGTCCCTTATGTTCCCGATGGGAAATCGAAGATTCACTTATGGAAAAAAAGGGGCCTCGTTCCTTATTTAGGGTTTCTGAGGTCAACGCCCCGACTGTGCGGAGACTCTCCGTATTCACTCGTCGTCGTCGTCGTCGTCGTCGTCGTCGTTCCTTGGCGCTCGCTCGTTTAGTTTTTTTCCGTTTTGATTGGTGGCCCGCGGCCGTGCCACCGTTGTGTTATGCGTTTCGTTTTCAGCTGCTCGGGTGCCGCTGTTTTGTTCACCCGCTGTTTTGTTCCAGAACGGCCCGCGCGACGCCGGCCGGCGTTTTCGCTCAAACTTCGTTTTTAAACGAAAGCGAAACGTGAACAGAAACCACTGTTCAGGTTGAGCCCTGTCGGAGAGACATAGACTTCTCAGAGCTGTCAGAGGGG